TTCTTCTGCACATATAAGTTGACCATGTAGAAGTTTTTTCATAGATATTTATGCAACCATTAGTTGGTATTTACTTGAGGCACTTTAGCTAATCACGGAGCAGTTCTAACCGGGTTTACGCAAGCAACTTTTGTTTATGAAACTTAATTATTTCCATTACTAACCATCAGACGTACTAATTGCCCCGACACTCGCCCGGTACGCAGCACTGTAACCATCTGTTTTGATCAGACTAGACGACCCTTCTCGACTTACCCTCGGCTAGTTAGGATTGATCTCACACTAAGTTGTTAACAGATACTCCTACATGATACTAACAGATAGAGCTATGAGATCGATCCTAACCTTTCCTACACGTTTACAACAGCACATGCAACCCTGCACAGTTTATACAACATAGTTTTACAATTTTTAACCGTGGAAACACTGGACTTATCCCACACAAAGCATTACATTCAGCAAATTTCAAATTAACAGTTCGATTAATCAATCGCCAGGTTAGAGTTCTCGCATAGACCGCTAGTTGTCATGGCCAGCAACACTAGTCATGCACACAGAGATGTACGACAGCTCGGGCAGGTCCTTCATTTAAAGACACTAAACACCAGCGCCAAGACTTATGCGAGGCCAAAATTCATGTAGGTCATGCAGACAAACACAAAGTGCCCGGGCCAAAGTTAGGGACGAGTCATTCGTGTGCTATGTGGGGCCAAAATTCATTAAATATGTGTACATCTCATGCATTGTTTCACTTGAAATGAGCGGGGCCAAGCAGACATGAGGATGCATCCATTGACGCAGGCATATGTTGTGCAGTACGAGCTCAGCGCATAGAAAGTTGGACCTGTGCCGAGTTTGGCATCGGATCCCAACACAATGGCACAAATAGGAGCGGCAATATAGCTGCACTTTATTGCGATCCCGGACCGTACCTTGTGTATATAGCGCTACAGTTGGGAACCGGTATATCATTCATATTACACGCTGGCACTCATTGTATCCATCTCGAAGCATGCATGACACGGCCTAGATAAAGTGTGCCAATGCCGCCGTGCACTGAAAGTGCGCTCCGTTAGTTCTTTTCCATACATCGCCTACAGTATTATCCGATAAAATTCTTTGCTGACAATGCAACCAAAAATAACTATAGATTCTTTTAACCGTCTCGAGGCTTCGTCGAGGTCGCATCCCCCCTCCTCGTCCTCGTCCTCCTCTCCTCCTCCTCCTCTGCCACCACTATAACCCTGAGGTCGTGTCGGCATATATGTTTGTGTCATTGTGTGACAAATGGTGAACTTGTTTATTTTTATGACAACGAACTTGCAGTGTATGTGTGTGAATTGATGATGTTTGACATGTGATGTGAATGATGATGATATGTGAGACAATAAACTTGTGATGTCCTGATATGTACTCCCTCCGTTTCATAATAATTATCATGATTTCAGTTCGAACTAAAACCATTACTATTATGGAGTGGAGGGAGTATATATGAATTGCTACATCTTTGAATTGTATGTCTTTTGGGGAACAAAGTGTAAAAAAGTACCACTGAGAAGCATTGCCGAGTGCACTCGACAAAGGCAATATATGCCGACTGTTAGACAAACCGCGCCCTGCCGTCACGAAGCCCTAAGCTGGGTGGTCCTGTTTTTCATGTCTTTGCCAAATATTGCCCTGCACTCGGCAAAGAGCAACCTTTACGAAGTTCTATCTCTTTGGCAAGTTTTTTTCCCGCACTCCTGAAAGATACCGCTTTTCCAAGTTCCACGTCATTACTGAATTTTTTAACCTTGCACTTGGCTTTACGTTGCTTTACCAAGTTCCTGATAGAAGAAACTCGATAGATTGTTGTGCACTAGGCAAACTTCTCGATTTCAGTAGTGGATACAAAAGAAGCTTGAAAAAAAAGACCCGATTTCAGTTGTTGAAAAAGGCTTGGCCTCATGTCCCCCCCCTCCCGTGGATGACTCGGGAGGTCCAACCCTAGCCAACGGACTCCGGTCCTCTTCCAGCCCCCTCGCCGCCATTGCCGGGCAAAGCCCGTGTGGTGTTGGCGTCAACAGGATACCAATTTTTCCTTCTCCTGGAGCGGATGTCGCTGTGGTCCTCCTCTTCGGCTTGGTGGTGGTTCTCAGTGGCCGGCACGTTAGGGCACGGGGCGCGCGCGGCCTGGAGGCAGCATAGCTTGCTGGTGGTGGCGCGTCACGGTGGAACGTGCAGGGCAATGGCGGCTTGGTGATCCTCGTCGTGGCAGAGTTCATGACTGGCCAGATCTGTGCTGGCCGGAGGTGAGAGTTGGTGGCTGACGCATGGTAGGTGGGTTGCTACGGCGGGCCTGGCAGGTTCTGGCTGAGGAGTTGTGGCACACTCTGGTGGCACTGGCGCCTGCTGGAGGCGGCGGCGCGTTCCCACGGGCAGGTTGGTGACGTCGCTACATTGGCTCGATCAAGATGGAGTCTTGTGAGCATCGAGCAGCTGGTCACCCTGTGCGGCATGGCAAGCGGTGGTGCTCTCCTGGTGGTGCCTGCCTGGGTCTTTTCATGTAGAGGCAGGTCTGATCGTTGCAAGGCCATCCCTTGGAGTGGGTGACAACCGTTGCAGGCGGTCCTGGAGCTGGCCAAAGGTGTTGGGTCCCTCTTGCAGACTAGGAGTTGGTGGTGTGGCCGCGGTTTCCCTGTCGGGCGGTTTGGTCCCATGTTCCCCGTGCCCCATGTCCCCTGTTCTTTCTGTCCCTCACTTCTAAAACAGGACCACACTGCAAACTTTAAACGGGTCGACACCCCAAGCTTTTCAAACCCGCACACAACAAGGGTTGCTAAGCTAACTACAAGAGGAAAAGGACCAATCTGATGACATCTAACCACACAGCTGAATAATTACAATTGTTGCTGTGAATGAACTACATACAAAGGGCTAAAAATACACTAACAATACCACTGATAATGACAGAGTAGAAACCGCTAAAAAAGCACAGTAATTCCACTAAAAACACTGAAATTTCACTAGTAATGAAACTTGCAAAAAAGTGTATAATCCACTAAAATTACACTATAAATCCACCAATGATTTACAGTGCAAATTTCGCTTGAAATACACAAAAGGAATTACACTGTAAATACTGCTTAAATAACAGTAAAAATTCCACTGAGAAAGTACTAAAATTACACTAACAAAATACAGTAATGAATTACAAAGGAAAGTCCACTTAAAAATGCACTGTAATCCAATGAGAATTACAGTGTAAAATAACCTAAAAGTACACCAAAATTGAACTAAGATTTACAGTGTAAATCATATCGAAGTTGCAACATCGACAAAGAAGTACACTATAAACCAGCCGGAATTACACTGTAAACCCAGATATGAATTACAGTGTAAATCCAGATAGAAATTACAGTGCAAATCCACTTATAAAAACACTGTAAACCACTAATAAATACACTGTAATTTCAACAGTTTTACGGTGTAAAATCCACTCAAAAAAGTTAACTCCATTGACAAATGCACTGGAACAACCACATATTCGTGGACGAACATGAAGAAGCACCACCAGAGAGGGTGATTCCTCCAAGATCTGGTACACAAACTTCAACATGGCTAGAGAAGCAGGAAAAACATAGGTAAACACCCCTTCTCGCCCCCTCCGATGCGTTCATCACCTCCTATCGTCTCCCTCCTGCCTGAAGAAATCTAGAAGAAAGAACAGATGGAAAAAGAACAGAAGCACACTAAGAAAGAACCAGCACAAATCCTAGGAACAACTAGAACATGGTCGCATGTACTACTAGTCTATGATCACAAGAACACTATATACTGAAAACTAGATGCCCAGATCATTGGTTTCTAGATTTGCAGAATAGGAACACACTACAGGGGACAAAAACACACTCAAAGATCACTAGGCTAGCAATTCCATTTAGGGGAAAATACAAGGGACAAAAACACACTACTAGGCTAGCAATTCCATTTAGGTAAAACTAGTTGAAAATATACAAGGTTGAGGATTACTGCAGTTGAGAGAATATGTGACTATTTCCACAAACTTTGGAAACTAAAAAACTAAAACACTGTTAAGAAACTTTGATCTACTAGTTTAGACACTTCCTGTTGAATGACCGAATATAAGTAACTTTGGAAGTGTAAACTGCTATGAACTGATACTTGTTTACACTGAATATTGATTAGCATTAACATAAACACTGAAAATAGAAATTATCAGAAAAAATGAGTAACACAATCAGGCTAAGAACACTAAGATTACAGTGTAAAACCCACAAAGAATTATAGTGTAACTCTACTAAGTATTACACTGTAATCCAATAAAGATTACAGTGTAAATACACCAAAATTGTCAATCTCTTTGCTACAAGAATAGCTTAACCAAAAGGAAGACAAAGTACAAACCATGTTACAGAAGTACGGATTGAACCAAGTTCACCTAAAAAAAGGTCCGTGAAAATTACATCAAAGCCAAGCTCCCCTAGCCTCCTTTACAACCCACACAGGCAAAGCAGCGAGAAAGGAGAAAAAGAACCCAACATTACAAGGCAAAAATTTCCCATCTCTAATCTAAAACTAACCACACACAATTAAAAAGGAAATGATGAAAACCACTAAAATTACACTATAAAATCAACTAAAATTACATTAAGATTTACACTATAAATACCGCTGTAAATCCAGTTTGAATCCACTGTAAAATCTACTACACTAAGAACAACACTGAAAATCCGGTAGGAATTACAGTGTAGATCCAGTAGGAATTACACTGTAATTCTACCTAGAATTACAGTGTAAAATATAGTAGGAATTACAGTGTAAATGTACCTAGAATTACACTGTAAAATAGACCTACAATTACAGTGTAAAGATAGTAGAAACTACAGTGTAAATGTATCTAGAATTACACCGTAAAATCGACCTACAATTATAGTGTAAATATAGTAGGAATTACGCTGTAATTTTACCTAGAATTACACTGTGAAATCGACCTAGAATTACACTGTAAAATCGACCTACAATTACAGTGTAAATATAGTAGGAATTACAGTGTAAATGTACCTACAATTACACTGTATTTCTACCTAAATTTACACTGTAAAAATCAAGACTCACAGCGAATGCGTAGTGACAACCGCCAAATGTCATTGATCTCATAGAAGCAACCTTCATAGAATCCTTAAACTTCTTAATATTGCCAAGGAGACTCTCATATACCAATCTAGATAAATCATAGTTCATCACAGAACTACAATATCTGAAAATATGGAGATATTTGGGACTAGGAGAAAGGCTTGAATTTGGACACAAGAAAGTGGACAAGGAAATACACATGAAGCAGATGAAAATGTCTTCATCAGGCAATTCTTCAGATTTGAGTGTATTGTAGAAGAAAGAAACCGATGGGATGCTGGTCACATTGAAATGGGACAAGATAAACCCACGCCCAGCCTCAGCATCGGACATAATGGGCTCACCATCAATAGGAAGATCTAAGATGTCATGTTTGACATATTTGGGAATCGGAATAAACTTCTTCCTAAACTGAATCTCTGAAGCAAGATCAAATTTGGACACTACCATTTGACAAACCTAAGAGGCACCTCTGTCCTCACAAATTTGAGAAGGCAATCTGCCTTGTAGCTCTGAAGAACACGGACTTGCCTAAGAGACAAGCCACCAATAACGGTGGAGAACAACTTGCCAGAGTATCTAGTGAATGTAATGGCTACAGGAAAATCAGAAGACCTCTTGCGCTTCTACAACACAACAAGAAACACAAACAAAAGAAAAAATCAAGATAAATTACATTAAAAAGAAACAAAAGAAAGACATCTAGCAATAACAACTAGAACTATATGGAACTAGGTTCTTGTGCATCAATAGCCATTCCACAAAAAAATAGATATGATGAAGATTACAAAAGGAGTTATCTAAAACTTATATCCATATCTATCATAGAGAAGTTGCATGCAAAAAAAAGGAAATATAAACAACAAAAAATAAAATACCACATTGCGAGCTCCAGCATTTGTAATCTTCCGTTTTAAGCAATTCACTTTCTGCCAAAACATAAAAAGAGGAATTATCCATTAACTACAAACATGCATTAACTGGTACAAAAATGAAACTGGTACGAAAAAGCATTAACAGAAGAAACTGGTACAAAAGCGTTAACTACAGCACCACACTTACATGAGACACGTAGAACTCATACAAAGCTTTCTCCAAATCAGGATCATCCATATGACTTTCCTGCAGTTAACAGATGAAACAAATGAATGAACTAAAAACCCGGAACAAATAAGCTACCAAGCAAGAAATAAAAGAAATAAAAAATCAAATTAGAAATATAACCTCCGAAGCTTGAAAAGGATCATCCTCGACAAAATCATTGGGGACAAAAGGATCCCCATCTGAATCTTCACAATCTTCAACACAAGCAGCAGAAGTGCCCTTACCAAAAGCCTTCATGAGTTTCCCCATACTTTAATCTATAACCTAAATATGTACAAACCAAAGAAAAGGACAAAAAGTCTGGGATGAAACGGCAGAAGGGATAAAACATAACAAAAATATAAAGAAGAAATTCATTGATAGCATTTACAGTCTACATCTCTTTTATTTCACTACATAACCCACTGAGAATTACAGTGTAGAAATCCCCTGCGAATTACAGTGGAAACCAACTGAGAATTACATTGTAAGTACACTGTAATCACCGACTAAGAAAAATACACTGGAATTCCGATGAAGATTACAGTGTAAATCTGAATATAATTACAGTCTAAATCCTCTAAGAAAATACACTGGAATCAGATGCATCACAAGAACTTACAAACTAGCGATGCATCACAAGAACAGTCACAATTCCTCTGCTACCAATAACAGTGTAAATTACACTGAATTTACACTATAGAATCAGCTATCAATTACACTGTAAATCCACAACACAATTCCACTATAAAAATTCAAGTGAATTACACTGTAATTCCACTAGCGAATACAGTGCAAATCCATGGCAATTACACTATAAATCAGCTATCAAATTACACTGTACATCACTGACAAATACACTGTAATTCCACTAACAAATACAGTGCAACCCCACTGACAAAAATACACTGCAATTAGGACATATACATTGGTATTCCACTAGCAAATACAGTGCAGATCCACTGACAAAATACACTGAAATTACACTACAAATTTCTTTGGATTTACACTACAAATATTCAACCTATCCACTAGAAAGTTACAATGAAAATCCAGTATAAAATACACTGAAAATCACTCTAAAAAACAATGGGGATTGCACTGTAAATCACTGTAAATTCAAAAAAGGAATTACAGGGTAAACCACATACGCACTAAACGATACCAGTGAAGAGAAATGGTCTAGGGATTAAAGGCCCGGGAATAGAATACATCCGTTCGAATTGACTGAATACATCAGACTACTACAACTAAGCAAGCCAGCCTCACATAAACAACTCGAATGCCAACAACCAATCAATTACAGATAAGCATATCAAACTGACGCACATCCCAGCTACCGCGCTTAGCAGATCAATCAAACGCATCCCAGAAACGGCACAACCTAAACAAATCTACACGGAAAAAAGCTGCGGGGGATGGATACAATCATCATATCTGACAGACAAAA